CAGATTTCCCAGCTTCATCAGAGTACCTGCTGGGAGTGTGCTCAGTGCCTTGGGCTGCCTGGCTCTGCACAGGGATGAGTGGGAGCCCCGTGCAGTGCGGGTCACCGCTGCAGCGATAGCTGCTCCAGCACTGCTGGCACTGCATCGCTCCACTGGAGGAGCTGAGAGGCCTGGAGTTCTTATTCTTTCACTCATATCCTTCACCACACACAGTGGAAATGCATTCACACCTAGCCTGGGAAAGGTTACAAACACAGATAAACACGTGTCCTTACCGCGCTTCAACAGAGGTCTGTGTTTTCAATTAGGTTTTGGAATTTGATGCCAAACTTAGACCCAGTTATGGGGAGATTTTATCGGCAGAAGATAGATCAGGATTTGGAGCACAGGCTGCTTTTCTGAAGGTACATTTCTAAGCTAAAAGTTCCACAGGAAAAGAGGTCTCAAATATTTTCAACTCCTTTCACCTAAGATTTTCCACTCTTAACAAGGCAGAAGCAGCCTGTTTTTCACTGCCACGTGCATTGCTACACGTTAGCTGAGCAATGCAGCAAAACGTGGGCTGGCAAAGAGCACTCTGATGTTTGAAGGACTTTAAGAGAGTCCGTGGTGTTCTGTGACCCTGGGGTTACACTGAGTTTTAGCCCAGTTCAATGGTCCTGGCTGGGTTTTTACATGTATTTGGCAATCCACAGGCTTAGACTGTCGATTGGGTGTGAGACCAGTTGCATTGACTTTCCCATTTTGCAGGGTTTGGGCTGTTCTGATGTTCTCTCCTTCCAGAAGGGAGGGCTGGCCTGTTTGTAGTGGTCTCAGCTTATCCTCTAGTGGATGGCTGCCGACATCCCACGTGTCTCAAAGACACGGCCGGCATTGTTCAGTGCGAGAGAACACAAGTCATCCACTCAGCCCAGTAATAAGTGTTGGAGATACAACAGGGAAAACAAAGAGAATTACTTCAGGAAATGTATTTTGGTAGATCCTCAGGCACCAACGATCATACCTGTGAGCACTCCCAAATCTGAACAGTGAAGAATTTTTTCTGGGTTCATTTTCCATTTTATGTTGCAATGAAAAGTAACGTTTGAGTTTCGTGCTGACCTGGTGCCGCGGGGTCGGCTGGTTCTGTTCGTGGTCCTGAGCACTGGGGGAGTCTTGTCTTTTGGAGAAGTACAGGGTCAAAAAATTCTTTCTACTGGTCTCATGGTTTGTTACTGCAGTACTTAATTGAAGTGGAAAATTTGATCTGACATGTCAAATGTGGCCCTGGTTGGCTAGAGGCCAAATTGGGCTGCTTAATTTCAGTTTGCCTTAAAATGGCTGACTTTAAAGTTCACGTGCCCAGATTTCCCTTTGGAATGTACTTTAAAATCTTTTTTTAGTAACTTTATAAATCTTTCTTTATCTGTTTCTCTTTTAAAATCAATTGCTTCAGAAAACAACAGTCCAAAAGCGTAAGTAAATGTTTCATGTAGCATTTCTGGGCCCACTTTGTATCATGAAGTTTTTTACATCTGTGCATTAGAGAATATGTCTATTAACAAACCACTGTGCCCAGCACAAAGCCCATTTCACACCAGTTATTAAGTTGCCTGCAGTGGAAGAAAAACTGAATGGGAAATAAGGAAATATTTGTCAGTCTTCTAGGATTTGGATTCAAGTTTTTTGTAAGTCATTTATGAAGATGGCAAAAAAAGTTACATCAGATTTTCAGTATTTCTTTTTGCAACTTTGTATGTTTCATTATTTGGCAAAGAGAGGAAATGAAATCAAATCATCCATATTTGAGCCAATACCAAGGTTTGCTGGCTGCTGTGGCTGGGTTGGAAGTGTCAGAGTGGGGTATATTGTTGCCTGGAATCTGTCCTAGAGTGGGATGTAATCGGTGAGTCATAAGAAGAGAAGATTGTGTGTTCAGTATCTAGTCTTGTTCCGCATCTGAGTATCTTCCTGGAGTTGTGAGCACATTTCTTTCTGCCTGTTTCAGCATCAGAAGCAGGAGAAGTGCAGAACAGTGTGTTACTGACCTGCTTTGGGTGTTTATACGTGGAATTTTTCACGAGTTCATGACACAGCCACAGTAGTTCTGTGGAGAGGGGACGGACAGATGGACAAAAGTGTTTTCAGTGGGATGTCCAGATAGAGAGGAATATACAAGAGCAAAAATGTAATGACCTGACTGCAGGCTGTGGTCTGAAGCCTTTTGTTTCATGAGTTTCAGAGATGAATCTCCATTCCTTGATTAACAGCAACATGGAATGCCTTAGTATTTACTAGATGGGGTGGGAAGCTACAGAAGTACTACGTTTTTACAGTGTTAACATGGAACCTAAATACATGGTGGGTTTTTTAAGTGTGTACTGAGAGGCAATTCCTGCTTCAACCAGCAGATTATCTGTGTAAATGGGATGGTGGATGGAAAGAAAACTGGGGGAGGTCATGGCAGCAGCTCCGAAGTTCTGTTAGCAGCAGTTCTGAGTCCAGCTGAGGAGCTGTACGGCTTTGGGCAGCACTGGTTGCTGGGAATGCTGAAGAGTCCTGTGGTGGGAGGTGACTTGAAGTTAGAAAGATCTAGACACCCCATTTAGCACCTGCTTTTCTTGCCCCTTTTCTCACCCTATTTCCCTCCCTTTGTGAGGAAGGCAGACTTGGTTTTCCCCTATGCACACACCTTGTTTACTGCTTTTTTTTCTAGCAGCAGCTCATGTTTTCAGATCAATACTGGCTCCTGGCAACAAAAGGTTAAGCATCATTTCCCAGGTCTAGTGAAATGGTTTGTGCTCAGAGCCCTCCTGATCGTTGGTGTCAGCCTTGATTTCAAGGGGAAGGAAAGAGGACAGTGGAGAAAGCTGGAGATGAGACGTAATTTCTTTAAAAATGCAAATTATTGAAATAGCTCATCTTGAACCTTTCTAAAACCTGACACTTGCTCTCCCTTTCCCAAAGCTGCTTATTTCACCTGTGCCCCGTGGTACTGGTCCCACTGTGGCTGTGGGAAGGGGCACAGGGCCCAGGGTGGCCTCTCCACGCGGGCTGGAACAGAATGTTCTGCAGACAGCAGCGGATGGTCGGGGGGAGGAACGCATTTCCATGCTGAGTCTTGCCACCTGTTGCCTTTTTCATTCCAAGCCCTCCTTCCTCCCCACCCTCCACCCCGAGTTCCCCTCCCCACACAGCTCACCATCCCCAGTGGATAGGGCTGGGATCAGGAGGCACTTGCCAAATACCTTTCTAATGCTGTCACTAATTTTGCACAGACAGCATCTCCGAAAGCAAAAACAAATCTTTTCCAGTGCATTGTCCTGCATTTTCTACAGAAAGGAATTGGAAATGCCTTTTCTGCGGTGCGTTGGATGGGAGGGACCGTGCCACGGCCTCTGCAAGAGTCAGCCCTAGGGAAGCCTGAAGCCGTGCCGAAAAAATCCTCTGCAAATCCATTGAAGCTGGCATTTGGCACTGGCACGGGCTAATTTTGTACTTGGGGTTACACATATACACACTCATGTCATTCTTCTTCATCTGCTGCATATGGAAAGCTGCCCCAAGCTCCAGAGTGCCAGGGAATGCTTTGCTGAAACCTCCAGACTTGGTTTGATGATGTTACTGTGCAGACTGGGCTGCAGGAGCAGTAAGAGTGGTGTGTGCTGCCAGCACGAGCTAGATAGTCATGGGCTGGAGCCATGGCTCTGCCCTGCTGCCATGAGAGCAGGAGACTGGTGGTGGCCACGAGGTCAGAAGTTCCTCCTAATGAAGGTGTGAGGAGGGGATGGCCTTGCTCTAGTTCCAGAGCTGTTGGGTTGGGAGTCTGGAGAAGTGCATTGTAACAACACTGCTTCCAGCTCCTCCTCTGCTCGGCAGTAAAGCCATTTAGATCACAATTTTCAGGAGTGAATAATCATTTGGAGAAGCAGGCTCTGAGTTCCCCATTCCAGATGCCCTGAAGGGGACTGATTTTCAGAACACAAGACACTGGCAAGTAAGATCCTTTCATTGGCAAACAGACCTGGTTTTGAAGCTTTTCAGGCTCTCCAAATGTTGCCATGCCTGTGTTTGACAGACACACCTGTGTAAATACTTGTTTGCCCACAAAAATCACAGTAAGGTGTAAGGATGAAAAAATTCAATGCAAATACGAGCCAGGACTAGTTCCTGCAGCGTGGTTCTGCCACCTCACTCACAACCAGCCTGAATGGGAATGTGGAGAGTTCAGAGTTCCAGAAAAGAAAGAAAAAGCCATAGAAACAGAGGTGGTATGTTTCTCTTATTATTTCTAGTCGTGATGCAGCATAAGGTCCAGAACCTTCTCCCTCCCTGCTGATAGACGTGTTTGTACTGGCAGGGCTTCAAGCTGGTATCCCCACTGCACCAGTTAAACCAGTAGTTACCAATTTTTTTGCAAGCCACGCTGGGACTATAGGAATTTTATTCCTTCACAGTGTTGAAGGAAAGGGGTTTTGCTTGCCAAAGGGCTTTCTTATGCTTGAGGATGATTTATGGGCCAAGCTGAGCCACTTGTGGAAAAGGCAAAGCAGCTTTTGGCAGCACCCCCAGAATCCACTGCAGCTGTGGGGTAGTGAAGTCATCGGCATAACAACCACTGCAAACAGAATAACAAAGTCTGTTCTGTTCTCGTTTAAAATAATCTTTCCAGTTCAGCAACCACATTAAACCTTACCTTTCTGCATGCAAAAATAATAAAAGGCAGATAGTTCTCTGCAACATGGTGTGAATGTCTCACTTATTTCACTGCCTATCACTCCTGCACCATCTATGCTTTATCGAAGTACTTTAAATGAAGGAGTGGAGCTGCATTATGTCATAGTTTGTGTCCAGCCCTTGTTTGCACTCCTTTGTTTTTCCTTGGGTTTAAAAATGCAGAAAAAACCTCAGTGTTTCTTTCTTTTAAATACAAAATTTGCTTTTGCCTTATAACCTGTTTCTAAGATGATTGCAAAATGAGTAATTCTGTCTTTGATTTTTCCTGTCTGTCTTTGTTTCAGGTCTCTTCAGATCCTCCTGCTTCCAAAAAGCCCAAAATAGATGACTCTGCTTCCCAATCTCCAGCTTCTACTGAGAAGGAAAAACAGTCCAGTTGGTTACGGTCCTTATCCAGTTCATCTAATAAGGTGATTGCTGAGTATTTTGTAATCCAGAGAGAGATCAAATTAGCATGTAGCATCCCTCTATGGACACCAGAAGAGAAAATGAGCAAAATAACTTGCCCAGGTTTTCTAAATTAATAACATTTCTACCCTATTCCTAGTAAACATTGAGCTAGATAGTCCTCCCAGTTTCCTTGCCATCTTCTAGTGTTGACTGACCTTGATTGTGACAGTGAAGCACACAATTCCTTCACGCCTTTGAGGTACCAGAATCCTGAAAGACTCAGGAGCCTTTTGTGGTTTCTGCAACTACATTGAATTTACTGGCAAAGAAAAAACGTGGGGCTTTACCTTCGTCCAGTTCACTCTTCCAGGGGAATCTACTAAACGAGCAGGTCCTGGCCAGCAGGGGAGTAGTTTTAGCACTAACAGATGTGTGAGGAGCATCACTAGCTCTCCATGGTGATTTACAGTTTAAAAGATTGTTTGTATTTACTTATTTTTCCTTCCCAGAGTATTGGCTGTGTCCATCCCCGTCAGCGTCTCTCCGCTTTCCGGCCCTGGTCCCCTGCTGTATCGGCCAATGAGAAAGAGCTCTCAACCCATCTCCCCACGCTGATCCGAGACAGGTAAGGAGACACGAACTGAAGGGAGAGTGGAGCAGCCATGGAGATGGATGTGACAGCAAGTTGCTTTCTGTTTGTTCCCTTGTGCTGTTAGCTGGTGGCTTTTTAATTCATTCAGTCAGCCCACTAGTATCAGACTGAGAAGCATTTGCAGCTGCAGTGTTTTAATTTGCAGAAGGGAAACAAAAAGAGGAACCGATACTTTGAGGATTCATTCAGTAGGTTTTTGTAGGTGAAATGTGCCGTCGAAGCCTGCAGTGAAGGCTGCTTCTAAGAACTGAGGATGATTTTGGAGTACAGTCATCAGAAGTTCTCAGGCTTCACTGTTTAACAGAAGATGGAGTGACTCTCTCAGGGCAGGTGCTCGGGGACCAGCCAGCTATTTCCAGGCAGCTGCCTCCTGTGCAGACAGTGCCGTAGGAAGGCGAAGGGCCGAGGGGACAGCACAGGCTGCCCCGTTCTCTGTTGGTGCCACTGGTCCTGGGGTGTCAGGGCAGAGCACACGGGGCTGGAGAGCCTGCACAGGACTCCTCAACTGGTGAAACCCATCAGAAAGCTGATGTTACGGGCCAGATTCTGCTCTTGGAGAGGAACATAATTAAACTGGTACAAGAATGAGTCACCACCCTATGAGGTGGGACCACTGGTGTCACAGAACGGAAGGTGTCAGGGCGATCACACGTTCCTTTGCCAGACTTGAACTGTTCAGTCTGCAGAATCTTGGTGCCAGATTTCTGCCTGAGGGTAATGGTTTCTTTGGAAAGTTTGACTAAAGTGACCAGGTGTTTTCAGGGAGCGTTATGGAGAACATATTTTACTGCCCTCACGAACAAGTTTCTTAGAAGCTGTGGGGATTGATTTAAAAAGAAAAAAGAAAAAGAAAAAGAAAAAGAAAAAGAAAAAGAAAAAGAAAAAGAAAAAGAAAAAGAAAAAGGAGAAAGCATCCCAGCATGTCCTTGCTTTAATACACACTTCAGTGAGGCAGGGAGAGAAGAGCTAAATAGTGTGCCTTTGGTAGCCCTGTGAGAAATTTGGCCAATTTAAGTCTTGGGAAAAAAACCCACCTTCAACAAGTTCAGGAGAAATTTTAATATATGACTGAAGAGACACGATGTAGTAGATGCTGAATTGGAGTTGCAGGGACAGTCTTGGCTACGTTGTTTGCAGAATTCTGTGTGTTTGACATTACAGCATGACTGTCCTTTAACACAGATTTGTTGGGGTTTGTTAACGGTGGTTTTACATCCGTGCGCTCAGATACACGCTGGGTCAAAACATGAGATACTTTCTGCACTCCCGTGGCCTTTCTTAGGGAAGTGCCGTTTCCAAGTTTACAAAACATTTGTGGGTAGGCAGAAGTAAAACTGTGCAGTTAAGTACAACAATCATGCGTGAAGATCACGATGAAACATCGTTATAATTTTTAGAGTCTGGGAGATGATCTCTCTTTGGCACTGATCGAATATGTGGCACTTTGAATTTGATCCCTCCTGAACTGGATGGAGAGGAGCTGTATAAATCATCTCTGTGTTTAAATGAGTGCAGAATGTGAAGCAAATCCATAGGCTGGTGTAAATCAGTGGAACTCCACTGTCATTCCCTAAGTGTCTTGCAGTTTCAGTGTAACATGTGGATTGGGAAGTGTTTTAAAGCCAAGAATGTGACTGGTTTCTCCTTCCTTTTGCCTCCCCCTCTGAAACAGCTTTTACTCCTACAAAAGCTTTGAGAACGCTGTGGCCCCCAACGTGGCACTTGCACCTCCAGCTCAACAGAAAATTGTCAGCAACCCCCCCTGTGCCACAGTGGTATCGCGGAGCAGTGAGCCGCTGAGCACCGTCCAGCCACGGAAAAGAAAACTGGCTGCAGAGAACCCGGCTGTCCCGGAACCAGCGGCCACTGCGGCGGCAGTTACTGCCACTGAAGAGGAGAAGGAATCAGAAGCAGAAATTGAAGTAGAAACCAGGGAAGAATGTAAGTGAGAGCTGTACCTGCCTTTATTTTGGTTTATTTGTGCTGGATTTTCCTGAGTGATCCCCAGGAGTTGGCTGTTCAACCTGTGGGGTGTTTAAATACGATTCGGGAATCCTCATGTCATGAAAACCAGGAGTGGGACATACATTGTGGGGAAGGTTTCCTGGAAGAGGGATGTGCATTGACCTGCACGAAGCACCTGAACCCCAGGTGCCCACTACCCTCAAGTCTTTCATTAGAGCAGTGTTGTGCAGGGGACAGGATGCAGGTGGTCCCTCAAGTCAGTCAGGTTTGCATTTTCATCACATTTCAAGTATGAAAGTATAAAACAAGTATTTTCTTTCTTCCATGATTTTAATTGAATATTGAGTATCTCCTCTGTACAAAAGGCCCTCAGCATATTTTGAGTTACATCAGTTTAAAGACATTTTTTAATTAATTTTTGATGTTTCTATTTTTCAGTCACCTCCTCCTTATCCTCGCTCTCCTCCCCATCCTTTACTTCATCCAGCTCTGCAAAGGACATGAGCTCACCTGGGATGCAAGCCCCAGTCCCCGTCAGCAGTTCATACGAGGTTGCGACACATTCTGACTCTCACAGCAGCGGGTTGGAAGCTGAGCTGGAGCACCTAAGGCAGGCCCTGGACAGTGGCCTAGATACAAAAGAAGCCAAAGAAAAATTCCTCCATGAAGTTGTTAAGATGAGAGTGAAGCAGGAAGAGAAGCTCAATGCTGCCTTGCAAGCCAAACGCAGTCTCCATCAGGTACTGGTCCCACGCAGCTTTCTCTTACCACTGCCTGCAAATGCTCGTCCAGGTAGAAACCATTGGATGGTCCCTGTAAAAAAAAAAAAAGCCTCAGTTTTTCCCAAATAGGCACAGTCTCTGCTGGGGCTCTGCCCGTAAAGTCAGCCAGGAAACCAAAGTGTGCAGGAACCGTTCCTACTTTTTAAAGCTTGCCACCTGGTTTTGCCTTAGGGTCTAAATCCATGGTTACCAAAATCAACATCTTTTCATTACTGACAAAATCTTCTAGTCCAGCACAGTTTGTTTTGTTTTCATTTCACTGAACTAGAAACATTTCTGTCCTTACAGCAGCTTTATCTGTAGCGTTAAGAGATTGGCAAAAATGCTGCCATTGCCCAGCTCAGGGAGGGAGTTCCTGGGACACAGAGACACTTGCTGAAGCTCTGATGAAGAGCTGAACCTCACATCTTTGTTCAGCTTTCCATCAGCTGTGCTTCAACGAGTGTTTCTTTGTATTAAGTGTGTAGATTTGATCACAATTAGAATTTTAACAGAAGTTGGCCAACTCACATTTCTCCAGCTGGTTTCTGTGCTGGGCGCCCTCACGTGAAGGCGGCTGTTCTGTACCAGCTGCAGATCCAGGTCCTGGAGAAGAGCAGCCAAGAGCCGTCATCTCAACTGAGCTGCTTCTTCATTGTCACCCTGAGCAAATCACTTTATTCCCTGGTGTTTCAGTAAATGTTTTATTTTATGGATTTAAAAGTTAAATATTTCTAAGTAAAATATATTTAAAGCTAATTTCTAAATACCTGAACTAAATACACAGTGTGTACTTAAAGCAGGAGTTGCTGAGGCGGGATGGAGTGTTGAGCATTAAATCAAGCAGCATGTCAGAGCGAGAGGGAATGTGGTATCTGGCCATCAGTTTCCATTAGCGCAGCTGTGGGTTTCCAGTTCCATGTCCCGGCTTCCAGAGGGAAGGCCGGGCTAACAATGGCCTGGCTGGGAAGTGAGATTGTCAAAAGAGTGAATTTCCCATGACCTGACTGCAGCGTTACTTAACAGAAACACGTTGCTGTGAGGGTTTGACTCTGACAGAGGAAATGCTGCTTCTGGGGGGGAAATCAAACTTGAGTTTCTAATTTAACCATTTAGGAGACAGACCTTTAGTGAGCCCCATTTTGTGCTTATGATCATGTCTTACATAGCAGCTTCTTTAAAACTTAGGAGTTTCTCCCTTTGTACCTTTAGGTTCTTAGTCATTATCACTGTTATGGTGCTCTCTTGGATTTGAGATTTCCAGGTAGCAGCTCCTGTTAAGAACCTGGACAGTGAGAGTGGCAATTGCCAGAGCAAAGCGTGGGTTTGATGGAGCTTCAGGTTTTAGGCTGGAGTTTCCCATGTGGTGTGATGGTGACAGAGCAGTCCACTGGCTGGTTGCCAGGAGACTTGGGCCTACACAGCCCTTACCTTTAGCACCACAGAACTGCCTGGAGTTAGAAAGAACATGCACAATTGGGTTTTTTTTCTTATCCTCACCTTAAAGTGGGTTTTTTGGGGGCTCGATAAAATGGAGCTGCACAGAATCTCTTCAGCGAGCAGTAAAGGTGCTGGTTCAGCTTTGCTGTACACAGGGGGATTCACAACCTGCACGTATCGTAACGTCCTGTATCTTCAGCGTCTCCAGTTACCACACAGGCAGTGCCCTTGGTTGGTTTGAAACTTGGAGCCAGTGTAGAGCACATTGCTGGTTGCTCTCTCCAACTGCAGTTCATCTTTATTCAGTCACAGATGGTCACAGCTATTTTGCTTGACAAAGCAAAATGTGGCTGTAGCGTGTAGTGTTTTATAATCCAAGAATTCAGGGTAACTTGAGCATAGGATCTCGTGTGGATTTAAAGGAGAAATGCTTGTGCAGAGTTCAGAATGAGGGTGAGACGTGAGCCTTGGTCATCACCAACAGAAGCTGAGAACTGAGTTTGGGTCGCTCCCTTCACAGGTCTGTTTCCTTGTCCCTGCTCCTCAGTTCTCACACGTTAACTGCTTTTGTGTTCTAGGAGCTGGAGTTCCTCAGAGTGGCCAAGAAAGAGAAACTGAGAGAAGCAACAGAGGCGAAGCGCAACTTAAGGAAAGAGATTGAACGTCTGAGAGCCGAGAATGAGAAGAAAATGAAGGAAGCCAACGAGTCTCGGATACGACTGAAGAGGGAACTGGAACAAGCCAGGCAGATCCGGGTGTGCGACAAGGGCTGCGAAGCGGGCAGGCTCCGCGCCAAGTACTCAGCCCAGGTAAGAGCCGAACGCGGGCGCCGTCACAGCTATAAGTCAGCTTTGCTGTTTTGGCACTTGTCAGGGTTAGTTCAAGTGTCCGTCTGTCCTCTGATGGCCTTGTTCTGTCTGATTTTATACAAGTCCAGCTCCTAGCGATATAAAATCTGCGTCCCCATCGCGCCACTTGACAGCCCGAGTCCTAACGCACGGTGTTAGCAACTCGCCTGCGCTCCCGCCCCACCGGTCCCACAGTTCTGCCCAGAAATTGGCACATTTGTCAGCTGAAAATCGCCATTTCAGAGAAGTAAGACAAAGGCTGGACATTATCTCAGTTCCACTCATTCTCTGCTGGCACTGCCAGCACAGAGGGATCCATTTCAACACTGTAAATATTACGCAGAGCCACTTTCTCTAATAGTGCTTCTCCTTGAAGATCAGCCTAGATCTACAGGAACTATTTATAAGACAAAGAAGAAACCAAGTGCAGTGCTGGGAAGGAGGGATGTTCACAGTTGTAGAGCACGAGAAGCACAAACTGCCAGGTCTAAGACAAGACTTCCAGTTAGAGCTCAGGGAAAGTTCTAGGAATGCAGGAACGTGTTGTTACAAGCAACATGGATGCTTTAAGCCTTCGACCAAAAAATCCCTCCCGGCTTCATGAGCGTGTTGTTACACCTGAAGCGTGAGCCGCGAGTATTTGGTGTGGGCACTTTAAGGGAGGGGGGAAAAGGGAAAAGAAACAGCACTGGCCATCAGAAACGCTGCTCACCCCACGCTCTCAATAACGGGAAGGGGAGTGGTCCACTTGTACCACTATGAGACGTGTCTAACCAGGAGACCAGCAGCAGGAAATGATGTGGGCTTCCTCTCTAGCATCACAGGATGTCTCACTGATAAGAGGTGTCCAGACTAAACACAACCAGATTGCGAGCTGCTGCGCTGGGCGGTGCCGGCAGTTGACTTCCACTGGAGCAAAAAAAAAGCCAGGGTAGAGCAAGTGCAGGGAGAGCGAAGGCCACACGCAGCAAACAGCTTTGCAGATCTGCAGGTGTGTCCTCCCTCGCTGTCACATGCAGTCACCTGTCTGACAACGTGGATTTCCAGTCTCCTCATACATTCCCTCCTTGGGAACACATGAGGTTTCCTAATATGAGGCTCCAGCAGCTGAATATTCTGCAGGTTTGTCTTTCCTAAAGACACTGATGGCAAATCTGCAGTAGCAACTGCAGCGTCCAGTTGTATGTACACAGAGTGCAGCAGCAGGACACTCATTAACCCCCAAATGCAGTAAAGCTCTATTAGTTTATTAATATTAATTATTATTAATACCACCTGGCAAGAAGTGGCTCAGGGTCTGGAATAGCTGCTTTATTTAGCAATGACCTCAGAGATTCTGCACGGCTTTTAATAGAAAAATACCTTAAGTAACTTCAAAGTCTGAATTTTACAAGATGTCAGTAGTCATGACTTAAGAACTTAAGCCATGGAAGAAATTTTACACGAAAGCTTTATACAGAATTTTATCTTTAATTTGGAGTGCACAGAGGAAGTTTGTCACATTGTGTTCCTCACTTCTTGCTATTTTTGAGGAAACCAAAATTCTCTAGACAGGCTTAGTCTGCGAGAAACAGCATCAGGCAAGCAAGAGAGGAAATAAGACAAGTCTGGGGTGTAAGTATCTTTTTAGACAGTTAATAGCTCCTGCCTGACTCTGTGTGCTTTGTGCCTTTCTTTTTCTTGCCTTAATTCTGGGATCCAAAGACAGAGGGGGTGGCGGGGCAGCCTTCACTTTAGCCCCACACACACGCAGGCGGTTTGCTTTCCTTTGTTACATGGCAGTGTTTGCTCACTGCCAGGCTAAAACAGCTCTTTCAAGCCAGTGCCGTTTGTCTGATATTTACACCCTTGAATCCTGGGGCTTTTCTCTGCCTTTGTTACCAGTAAGTAACAAATAGTTAGCTGGACTCTGGGGAGGCTGAGGCCAGCTGTGTCTCTTGCTGTAAGCTGGAAACACTGGTAGACCTCCACCAGTGATCTCTCTTAAGGCCACCTGGGTCCTGGATTTGTTCAAGTCCATTTCTGTGCAAAGTTACAGCAAATTAGGACCAGTTCAGTCCTGTTCCTGCCCCGCAAAGGGCAGCTTCTTATTGAGGAGCTGAAATGGTGCTAATTTGCACTGTTACTTGGAGAGTTTCTGCTCTCAGAGGCCTCACAGCCAGATTCCCAGTCCCCTCGCTCTCTACACTGTCCCTTCACATCCTCTGTGCCCATCTTGCTTCCTCAGATCTTGTTCCTCACATTTAGTGTGAAAGATAGAATGGTTCTACAATTGCTTTTCTTGGACATTCATCTATAGCTCTATAATTTATATTCACATAATATAAAGATATTAATCACAGGCCTTTTACACAGGCAACTGTGTTTCTGGTCACTCGGATCAATAACCATTGTAAAAGATCTGAAAGTCAGTTGCTGTACCTGAGCTGGTAGTTTACTTTGCTGAACTGCTGTCTGCCTGAAGGAATCACAGGCGTGGTTTAAGTTCTGTTTTTCTGGAATTGAAGCCACCAGAAATATTTAAGAATTTCCAAGCTAACAGTTCCTGCAGTGCACTTGCCTCCTTGTACAGCAGCCTATGGGAAAAGGAGGGAAAATGGAATTCCCTCCTCACCTCAGCTTTGATAGTTTTAGGTCTGGAAGCAGGTGCGTTTGTTACTCTCCTCACCGCGCACTAAGGTCCTAGTCTGTGGTAATGGCTACAAAATCACAGCGGAACTGGAATATTAAAATTAATGTATTTTCTGCATCTGCTTCTCTCTAGATTGAGGACCTCCAGGTTAAGCTTCAGCATGCAGAGGCTGACAGGGAGCAGCTCCGAGCTGACCTGATGCATGAACGGGAGGCTCGAGAACACTTGGAAAAGGTAGTCAAGGAACTTCAGGAACAACTGTGGCCTAAAGCGAGCAGTCAGGGCAGCAGTGAGAGCACGACGAGCACCATGGAGAACTGACCCAGCGCCCGGCAGCTCAGACACAGACAGAATGACCTAGATGCACAGTAAGGGAGGATGCGTGGGGTACGTGTGTAAGTGCATGTGTGAGTAGTTGTGTCTCGGCACACAGACCTATGAATATGGATTCTTATTAGTTGGAAGGCAAATGTTACTCTTTATAACAGAAGCACTGAATTACGCCTCTTTTTTTTCCAATCCATATAGCACAACATCTTACTGTGCCTCTAAAACACAAAGTGTTTATAAACAAAATACTTTTAAGTCCACAGCAAATTTTCTACTGGCAAACTCCAAGCAAGCAGCATCGTCCAACTAAAACCAGAGTAAAAGGCGAGCATGGCAGTGTTTTTTTGTTGCCCTTCTGCCTGTTGGAACATTTTGGAATTTAAAAACAAACAAACTTTTCTTATAAGCTATTTAAAAATAATTCAGTACACAGACTTGGTATTAAAAAATTAACGAGATTTTTATAATGAACCTTTAAAAGCAAAACAAAAAAAAAAAAAAACACCTTCGATGCACAATTTTTAATGACTTGTTCTAGGCTTTGGGGTTCTCTTGGTAGAAGCCCCTCTGGTGATGATGCCATTTCATTAGCAGTTTTCCAGCCATCTAGGAAGCCATCGCAGTTTTAATCCCGTCATGTGGTTGTATGCGAATTTCAGAGTGCTTTTCCAAGTTGATTTTTTTCCTTAGAAAGAATTCTCTTCATTTCCTGTCCTGAACACAAGAAGAAAGGAAGATACAGGATTGTAAAGGGGCGGGAGGGAATGGGGATGGGAAGAGGTGTGTGTGCTTCGGAGTTACAAACCCAGCCTTACAGACTTCAGTGTTTGCAAATCACCCCATCTTTCTAAAGACGTCTTCATTAACGATGTGTTCGAGAGACTCGCTTCATCCAAGAGCACTTCAGCTTTAGGAAAAGAAAGAAGGAAATAAAGGAAGGAAATGGATGATCTGTGAAGGTGGTTGAGAAATAAAGCAGAAGACATGTGTGTTTCAAAGTCATTCTGAAATCTTTACTTCAGCTTTCAGTTTTCTGGAAAACTCATCTTTGTTGCACCATCTTACCATAAATTCAGTATTGACCTGCTTTTATTATGAACTGTCAGTCAGGATTTCTGTGCCCAAGGAGAGTGCAACATCGCGTTAGCGGATACTACAGAAAAGAAAAACCAACACTTTTGCTGCTGTGAATAAGCCTACATCTTTAAAAAAACAAACAAACAAACAAACTTTTTTGTTTTTAAAAAAATGAATTACTTTAATTTTGGGATCCAAGCCGCAGCCCTGGAATAAAAATGCAGCATGCCATCACTTTGTCTTATTGTTGGTGTTGTTGTTGTTGTTGATTTTTATTTTTTTTAAAAAACTGCACTTTGTCAGAATCTTACTCTGCATTTTATTCCATATTTCTGAAGTTTACAAGTTGAGCATTCTAGGTTCTACCCTGCCTAACAGATGGGAAAATCATCGACCCAGTTTTCCACCATGTGACACCTTGCATCATCATTTACATTTATGCAAAATGAGGACTCAGCAGGTATAGAGTGCTACCAAATATGAATTCACCAGACCAGTGCACTGCTGGTCGAGTTTTAAAGCTGTTTTGTGTGGCTTTGTACCTACCAGAAGTTGGGAAGCAGTAGAGACGCTCCCAGACGTGCTTAACAAATAGAGTTGGTGCTTTACTGAACAAGAGAAAAGTTATTTTCACCCACGAACACTCACCTCTCAGACACTCAAGCGTATCAGCATGAAGTGAAAATGTGATCTGGGGCTGCAGATGTGCCTTCCAGCTCATTTTTCCTCTCAGCATCTTATATAGGCAATGCTGACACTTTTTTTACCTTAAAGAATAAAAAGAAAAAGGAAAAAAAAAAAAAATTCCTAAACCCTATGCATCATCATACACAGAAATTTATTCTAAACAAAGAAACTATTTCCAGTAATCTTTAGTTGCTTTTGGACAGTAATGCAAACTATGTAACCTTAAAAATTATTTCCCAGTAGAGAGAAAGCGGCTTCCAATCCTAAAATTACAGTATTTACTTACAGTACATTGAGATTTTTATTTTTATTTTTTTTTTAAACAAAAGCTGTTTGCTTGAAACCATTATAATAACTGTGAGCATTAACAGAGAAGTTCATATATATGTTTTAGGTACAAAAAAAAAGAAGAAATATGAAAGGAGTAGAATTACTGGGACAATGTAAAACTGTTGGGAGCAAGAACCAGTGACACCAAGTAGATGAGACGACGCTGTCCGTTTATACAGGGGGTGGCCCTTGTGTGTTTGGGATGCTGGAGACTGAGTCTAGACACAGATCTCCTCTTCTAAAGTGCAATGCAAAAGGAATTTTGATTATGCTTAAGCAGGTTTTTTTAATGTGGTTTTGTTTTGTTTTTTTTTTTTTGCTTCTTTGTATGTTTTTTTCTGCGATTATTAAATCATATGCATGGAATTAAAGTCTCTGCCATACGTATATTCATTAATGGGCATTATTACTGTCTTATGTAAAGGGTTTATTTTGTTATGCAGTATGCATAAAAATGTTCTCAGCCTTATGATTTCCAGAGCTGTATTATTCACTTATTTCTTCAAGGGAAACTAAATAATTGTAGCTGTAGTTGATCATTGTGCATTTCAGAAGTCTCGTACGCTGTGCTTTACTGCCCTGCTAAGAAATTACACATAGAACAAACGAATTCCCACTCCCACTCTCAGCTTCTTGGAACCTTCAGATTTTGTTTCTTTGGGTTTTTTTTCTCCTGATCTTTGATTGTGTCTTTCCCCTGATGACTCAGTGAAAAATGGCAACGTGTCCTGTTTTGTCACAGGAAAAGTGGCCACTTACCTGCAGCACGTGACGTGGGTTTTCGTTCCTGTGTGTCTAGGGAAGCACGCTGACTCACGCCTCAATTTCTTCTGCGCATACAATGCTTTTATCCTCCAAAATTAATGAAATCTGCATTTTTTTCAAAGGAAAAAAACAAAACAGTAAATAGTCTTAGCAATAGTAAATAGTCTTGTCAAGCAACCAGCATCACCTGTGCTGCACACGTAAACGGGATAAGATTTAAAACAAACAAACCCGAGACCAGTCCCCAAAATGAAGTCACAACTATTGTTCCAAAGCCACAGTTTCCACTTTTGCCGTGTGATGGTAATTCCATAAAGTGTAATAAGTGACAAATAAACCTCACAGTGTTTGAGGTGACGACTCTCCAGTATTTGAGCCCTAGCAGTAAAAACATCCTAGTAAAAATATGTCCATAAATGAAGGGTTAAAATCATTAAGATTAAATAAGGTGCAAGAAGACTGAGAACAAACATCCCACACCAGCAGTTCATCACCAGAAGTTTACAGGATAAGAGTCCATCTTAAATCATTTTGTCTTTCCTAAATACATTTTAACAATAAAATCTTAAATGATATATTCGGCAGAAATCATGATTTCCAAGTCAGAACTCCTGTGCCTGTAGTTTATATTCAAATTGTCAGAAGCCACAGAGACAGCAGCTCTGGAAAAGGGCTGTCAAACTGGGGGGAAAATAAAATTAAAACTAGGGAAGGTGCTGGAGGTGCAGGAGTTGTTGTGTGTGTAATTTCTGTGGCACAGGTGAGTTGTGTGTGTAATTTCTGTGGCGCAGCCGTCACCGTCAGAGGGAAGCGCTTCTCTGTCCGCTCCTTGGTGCGTCCCTGCTGCATTCCATTGGCACTCCAGCCTGGAGTGGAGGAACTGTAACGTCCCATCTTCCCATTTCATCTGCTCTTTGGTTTCCTTTAACAAGTTCAAAGGGAGAAGAGGTGTTTCATACAGGCTGTTGACTCTCCCTGTACTTAAAACTATATTACTTAATACTTGTATATTCAGTTTAATTACTCATTGTTTCTATTACTGAAAGAAGACTTAACGAAGGGAAAAAAAAAAACCAACAGCAATAACATTCATATCTACGGAGCAGCTAACTAGTATACAGAATATTCTGCTTTTCAAACAGAACTAGCCAATGTAAAAAAAAAAAAAGTTAAAAGTAAATTCAACATGTAAATACTTTTTTTCATTTTACACTGTTGTATTATAAGTGTATATGGTGTTTACTTTTTCAAAACTCTTTCTTACCTGGTAGTTGTCTTGTTTTATGAGTTGTGTTTTTAACTAAAAAGAACCTTTGCTGTCTGTTAGGAAAAAACAAAACAAAATCTTTTTGCAAGTTTTAAATGTGGGTTAACCTTTTCTCCATCATTTTGCATTTTATTTGTCCTTATTTTCACTGTAAAGTATTTTATTACCAAAAGGTTGATTTTCTTTCCATTCTGCCCTCACATCAATCCATGTGTTTTAGAGAGAAGTTTTTTTGTTGGTTTGGTTGTTGTTTTGTTTGGGTTTTTTTTTTAAATCAAAAGAACTCACAGAAATGACATTTTTTCAATTGAAGAAAAATAAATCTTTACATTTATAATAGCCAATAGCATTTCAGCACATTTTTGTTATCCTGGTCTCTCCTATGCTGCTGCTAATGACAATATTATGACTTACTCTACTATTCTAGAACTATTTTTATGTAAGTAATGTATGCTTTCTTGTTTATAAATGCCTGATTTAAAAAAAAATAAGAAAAAAGCTTGGCATATTTATCTATTTCGCTGTGTACCTTGATAGTCCTTTTCCACCCCCTTTTCCACATCCCCTCCCCTCGAAGCAGATAATATTGTAAAATAAAGGACTTTATGAGATTATGTATGAAAATAGCTATGCTTATATACCACAGTGACTGAATGTACAGTGTATAGACGCATTACCTAAAATAAAATTGTTTGTCCAGAAAAAAAATAACTGGCCATGGCACCTTTCTTGAGTTTTCTGTGCTTACAGAAAATCATTTGGGACGGGCAAGCTCCAGAGACTGTCCAGGCAGCTGAGAAGGTGCTGGTACAACAGCCAGGACTTCTAAATTCTGAGTAAAACACCACAAACTTGCAGCAAGGCT